AGCTTGTGGTTTTTTACTGCCATCATTGCTGCTCTCCAAGCATACTTGTTGACCTCCTTCACTCCTAGAGTGGTTGGAACATGGCAGAAATTGTCGTTGTTTGGGATAGCCATATCCCCAACAAAAAAAGGAGATACGCTTTTAAATAAGACTCTAACTCTTTATTATCTTCTGCACCTTTTCTAGCACCTTCACATATTGAGATTTCAACTCTAAAAGCTTGATACGAGAGTTAAACAAAAATGATGTAGCTTTGCTGCATTTCATATTCTTATACATGTATTTCAATTGGGCATATAATATATCAGTAATGAAAAATTCAATAACGAAGTAAAACTAAAGAGAAATACATGTTCTTCGTCAGTGAGAAATCCGGTAATTTACATGAGATCTTCGAGGCCAAAATCAACTAAGACAAACTTTTCAGGCTTTCAAATGCGAAAACAATCTTTGCTTGTATCATAAAACTCAACCAAAGCAATAAGAAGCTGACAACTTCGACTGTATAAACCATCATTAAATTTTAAAAACCATCTGAAATATGTGGATTTAACAAGTTTTGAGATTCTTGGATCCAATTTTTAAGAGAAAAACGTTTTAAGATGCATTTTGGGGTCAAGCGCTTTTGTTTGCGTCATAGCTTCAACTTTTGTAGAGATTTATGTTTTTGAGAGTTATTTATGTTGTTTCACGTAACATTATCATATAAAAAATTTGTAAATTATAAAAATATAATAATATTTTTAGTCTTTTGAAAGAATTAGCCACATTTTTGAAGAAAAAGTAACCACATTTTTGAAGAAAAAGTAATCACACTTTTAAGTTTTAACTTTTATTTTGATAACCCTAAAATGCGAGAGATGCCTCTCCGACTTGGATCTTGGAAGAATCAGAGCACTTGTCGCTGCCTCGGTCGGAATTTTTGTTCTCATTGTCCATTTTTTTTAATTCTTTTGTAAAGTTTTTTTTTATTCTTTTTCTTCACCTTCTTACTCACTTTTTAATAAACTTTTACGGCTATTAAAGAAGAATAGCTGATTTTCAAGTTTATATTTACGCACCGGTAAAGTTACCTATATATAATTGTATTTGTTTAATAATAGTACTAATGAAGAAACTGAGAGGTATAGTAAAGAGGACTAAGTTACATGACGGAAATTTTAGGACTATCGTAATGTACTAAGTTACACTTTGCTTCCTCTGCTAAAAATGTGGTTTCCAGGTGGCTTTGTTAGCGTTCCATGTTAGAACCGATCCAAACATTGCCCTAACTATCTACAAAATATACAAAACAATGTGATGAACTGATTATAATTATATATATTTACTTGCGATAACTCTTACAAAATAATGAACAAAATTCCAAAACACTTGCCATTTGTTATTTCTACTACGAAGCAAAAGTCATTCCGATTTCTGAGGAAGAAAGCATCTTCTTCTTGATTTCTTCCTGAATACAAAGCGATTTTAAAATGTTTACCCTACAACTTTTTGTACCAAAAGAACAAATTGTTGCAGATGTTTGAATCTTATCTACGTGGAAGAAACAAATTGTTTATTAAATTATGGAAAACTAATAAATAACAACTTATATTTTCGTGCTTTACAACTAATTCAAATTTGAGAACTCGAAAACTGAAGGTTGCAACTTGTAATCCATGATTTCAGTAACCACAGCTAACTGAAGCATGTGTAATAATTGTAAGAAAACCACAATAAATCAAAGCAATGGTTAAAAAAATTTTATAACAACTTGACTAACCTTTTGGTTTGTAAGAAAGTGTTGAAGATCGGTATTTTCTATTGACTTCTACGAAACCACATGGAAAAATAAACAGAGGATGTGAGTGAGAGACAGAGCAATTAAATATATATGATGCATATTGTAAAAAGATCATAAGAAGGGGCGATTCACCTTTGATAAAACTCGGAACTAATGTGAGAATATAGACTGAAAAACACTTTCTTACAAACCAAAAAAGTTAATTGGAAAAATGGTGTTTTATACATTTAGAGAAAATGAAGTAGTTAATCGGAAATCTCATAGATTGTGGAAAAGGTAACAGTTGAAGGGAAGATAAATCTAAACATTAAATCTATTATTTCGTTAACCACGATCCACGTTTTTTTTTTGTTTTAATGATCCACGTTCTTATTTGTTTTGAATTTAAAAAGGTTTTTTGCAAAATTCAAAGGTAAAAATCGTGGAGTTGAGAGATTTGTTATACGTGTTAAGCGTTTGTTTAATTTAAGAGTT